AGCACTAGCAAACAACAGTAGGAAGATATTACAACTATGCACATAAATATGACAGCTTAGATCAAATGCACTAATCCTTTCAAAGCCACAGACTACCAAAAGCCACCCGAGAAAAAGGAGAATATAAATATATAATTTTTGTTTTGTTTGTTTGTTTTTTCTTTTTGAGACAGGGTTTTGTGCTCACGTCAGCAGCACGTATACTGGAACAAGACAGGGTTTCTCTGTAACTTAAACTCTCTCTGTAGACCAGGCTGGCCTCGAACTCACAGAGATCCACTGCCTCTGTCTCCTGATGCTGGGATTAAAGGCGTGTGCCACCACTGCCTAGCTAAATACATAATCTTACATGTATGTTTATATACACACTCACATTTCCTGTCCAGCCCCTTTCTGCAGTGCTGAGGACCAAACCTGGGGTCAGGTTTCATGTGTGCTAGGCAAACACTCTACTACTTGGCTGAGCTCCCAGCCCTGTAAAACTGTATCTTTCAAGAATTCGAATTTATACCTCAGCATACCCCCTTAAAGAAAATGTCAGGTTCAAAAAATAGGAAGCGGGCTGGAGAGAAGGCTCAGCAGTTAAGCTCACCAGCTAAGAGCACCTGCTGCTCTTGCAGAGGACCCACAAGTTAGCTCACATCCATCTGAAACTCCAGTTTCGCAGCATCTGGCACTGTCTTCTGACCTTGGGCACACAAGTACACACATGGAACCCATACATATCATACATACTTGCAGACAAAACACTCATACACACAAAATTTTAAAAAAATCTTTTTTTTTTTTTTTTTTTTTTTGGTTTTTCGAGACAGGGTTTCTCTGTGTAGCTTTGCGCCTTTCCTGGAACTCACTTGGTAGTCCAGGCTGGCCTCAAACTCACAGAGATCCGCCTGGCTCTGCCTCCCGAGTGCTGGGATTAAAGGCGTGCGCCACCACCGCTCTTTTTAAAAAAGAAAATCAGTTAATGTAGTTCAGGGCATTGATGAACTAAAAGGCAAAGATTACACAGTTGTCAGTGGGTATAGAACAGGCCTTTGGCCAAATTCATCATCCATTCATAATTCAGAAAAAAGTTAGCCAACTAGAAACAGATGGGGCTGGCTTAACTGGATCCTGACTGCCCCTGAGAACCAGCTGCTCTCCTGGGCCTGGTGTCTGCTCTCACTACTACTCAGCAAAAATTCCAGAAACTCTACCTCCCATAGAGATTGAAAAGGGAAGAAATAAAACTTGCCCCACTCAGATGAGATACTATGTATCTATATGGAAAAGTCCCAAGGAACCTACAAGAAAATTCCTAAAACTAAGAGTGTAGGAAGATCCTAGAATAAAATCAACAGCTCCGAATCATATTTCCTTTATTACTTAGTGCGAATGTACGTGGTATTGCCACACAGGGACACTGCACTCCATGTGCACCAAAACTTTACACCAGAATAATCTATGCAGAGATCTAAGACCTAACGCTGTAAACTAAGGAGGGGTCTTGTGATCCTGGTTGAAAGTTCTTAGATTTCATTTTGTTATTTAGTAAGTTGTGCTTTGTCTAAGCTGTCACTCTCACTCGCTGTGTTTTTTGAGCTGGTCTCACTCTGTCCTGTACATCTGTCATCAAGGTCATGCAGTCCTCTTTGCTGGGCCCCGCTCATCCTGGATTACAGGTGTGCACCATCACACCCAGCCTCAAAACCAAAAGCTCCTGCTCTCAAAAACTAGAGAGGGAAAAGATGAGCCGGATACTGGGAGGAAGTCTTTGGAAATCACATTTGCTTTTCCTTCCTTCCTTCCTTCCTTCCTTCCTTCCTTCCTTCCTTCCTTCCTTCCTTCCTTCCTTCCTTCTCTCTTTCTTGGGGGGCGGGTAGGGTTCAAGACAGGGTTTCTCTGTGTAGTCCTAGCATCCTGGAACTTGCTCTGCAGACCAGGCTGGCCTCAAACTCAGGGATCTGCCTGCCTCTGCCTCCCAAGTGCTGAGATTAAAGGCACGGCACGTGCCACCATTGCTGGGCTTGGAAATCACATTTTTGATAAGAATGTACATCAAGAACATTTAAAAACTAAAGCTCAGCCTGGGCAATGCTGGGCACAACAGATCTGCAGCACCAGCAGTGGGCAGCTGAGGAAGGATCGTGTCTTCTTTATTCTTCTGTCGTACAGGCCATCCTTGTATCAGGCATTCTTGGACCGTCAGCCAGCTCCCAGATCATGGCACGGAGACTTACTGTTGGTGTCAAATGCTCGATCCTATCTTAGGCTTTTCCCACTAGCTCTTATAACTTAAAACTAACCTGTTTCTCATCTATGCTTTGCTTTGGGGCTTTTTACATTTCCTTCTGTGTGTCCTATGCTGTGGCTTTCTGGCTGGCCCCAGGCCTCTCCCTCTCTTACTCCCTCATTCTGTTTTCTCAAGCCCAGAGTCGTCCTACTCTCTCTGCCCGCCAGCCCCACCTATCCCTCTCCTGCCTAGCTCTTGGCTGTTCAGATCTTTATTAGACCAATCAGGTGCTTTAGGCAGGCAGAACAACACATCTTTACATCATTAAGCAAGTGCAGCATAAACAAATGCAACACATCTTTACATAGTTAAAGTGATATTCTGCAACATAAAGGTAACACATCTTTATCTAAAGTAATAATTCTATTCCACAATGCTGACTGCAGTTTCCTCTCCCTCCACTCTTCCCATCTCCCTGCAGCCTTCCCTTTCCCCCAGAAAGGAGCAGGCCTCTGAGGGATATTGAGTCAACATGGGATAATAAGATGCAATAAGACCAGCACAAACCCTCGTCTCAGGACTAGGCGAGGAAACCCAATAGAAGGAAAAGAGTTTTAAGAGCAGCCCCACTGTTAGGAGTACCACAAAACTACCAAGCTAACGATCATAACATACATGCAGAGGACTTAGTACAGCCCAATACAGGCTCTGTGATTGTCACTTCGGTCTCTGTGAGCCCCTATGAGCCCTGCTTAGTTGATTCTGTGGGACATGTTCTCCTGGTGTCTTCAACCCCTCTGGCTCCTACAGTTCTTCCTTCCCCACTTCTGGTGGATTCCCCAAGCTTCAAGGGCAGGGACCTAATGGAGATCTCCAATTTAGGCTCTCTCTTTGCCTAATGTTTGTGGGTCTCTGATGACAATTGGGCTAGGTACTGATCTGGTTCTCGCCATACTCCTCCCACATACTCCTGCTATAAGAAATCTGAGTGCTTGACTGCCCATAAGGGGAGCCAGCAGTGACAGTTAAGACTCTTCATCTCTTGAGACGGAGTCAAAGAATGTAGTCATATTTCTTCTGAAGAATCATTTATCATATTTTTGAAAACAGGATCTTGACTGGGTGGTGGTGGTGTATACCTTTAATCTCAGCATGTGGGAGGCAGAAGTAGAAGGGTCTCTTGAGTTCCAGGCCATCTAGGACTACACAGTGAGACCCTGTCTAAAAGAGGGTGAGGGCAGAAGCAATAGGGAGATGGCTCAGTAGTTGAGAGCTTTGCTACTTTAGCCGAGGGTCTGGGTTCCATTCCCAGTACCCACATGTTGGCTCACAACTGCCTACAACTCCAGTTCCAGATCTATTGACCTTTTAGGCTCTGTGGGCACAAGGCACTCTTGTGGTATGTAGGGAAAACATGTATGCACATAAAAATAAAAATTAAAAATTTTAAAGAAGAAATGAAGCAAGAGCTCATTAGCTTAGGCTGGTCTCTAATTTGCTATGTGAACTGATGGTCAGCGTAAGGGCTGGGATTATAGACATGCAATACCATGCCTGTGTATGTGCAAGAGTGTGTGTACATGTGGACCAGTGTTCTGGATGGAGTCAGTTCTCTCTCTCCACTTTGTTGAGCGTGAGTCTTTCTTGTCTCTGCACTGTACTCCAGCCTAGCTGGCCTGTGAGCTTCCAAGCGTCTCTCGTCTCCCACCTGCGTGCCTGCATGCACGCTGCCATCAGCATCTGAGGCTGGGCTTGTCAGGCTTTCGAAGCTAGAGGTTTTACTTACTGAGCCATCTCCTTGGGCTGTGGGCCGTTTCCTACACTCGAGTTCAAGACCATCTCCTAAAGATGAAAAAGAGAAACACAGAACCTGAAGACAGTGTCTAAACGACAAAAGACGAAGGAACAACAAACACCCAGCCCATGGAGTGTAGCGTCATCAGCCATTTCAGAAATGCAGATGAACACCTCAGTGTGATGCACAGTGTGATGCACCTGGAAGTCTCGCACACTGCTGTGCGGACAGCACTGAAGAGGGTTTGCTCCTAGTGTTTGTCTTGAGCAGACATGGTCTTGCTGTGGTGGACCTCAGACTCCCAGGCCCTCTGCCTAGCTCCTGTTGTGCTGCAGGTGCGGCGTGTGCCACCACACTGTGCTGTTGAGAATACAAAGCAGCAGAGCTACCAGAGGAATGGCAGCTTCCTCCCAAGTGAGACACACATTCCCATGTGCCCCCACCCCCAGGCACTGCCTCAGAGGGTAACTGAGTGTCCACAAAAACCGCATAGGTTCTTGTAGTGGTTTTGTTCATTGGAATGTAAATCATTGTTCTAGAATCTGGGTTAGGGCAGAGTCCCTCAGCAGATGGCAAGGTGGAGCCATGCTGGATCTACGTGCAAAGCACACCTGCTCTAGCCCTGGCTGTTTGCCGCTGATTGTCTCATTGAACCTCTCCCAGACCTGGTGCAGCTCTGCCATCTGCCACCCAGAGCTGACAGCCTGCTCTGAGCTAACCCGGCTCCCTCAGCATTTTTCTGTCGGTTGTTCTAGGGGTGAGTTAATCAGTTGCAAGGATTGGGGTGAGCACAGGTTCTCTGCCCGATGAGGTCTGGAACTGGACAGGTTTCAGGGACCTTGTAGCCAGTCTCAGAACTTCTGTTTCCCCACGTGATACATGATTATGAAAACTGACTCATTGGAAAACTTAAAACTGAAATTAAAAAATGGTGGTACTCCTTCCTATATCTCAATATTGACATGAGCAAAACTTTGGTTTCCATTTCAGATCACAAAAATGGACAGCACTTTATAATTCCTCAAATGGCAGACAGGTAAGGACCGGTCCAGTTTATCTGCCCAGCATTGCCTTGGTTTGCAGTATGTAAGTGTGTTGTATTTTGTGTTTAACAGAGCCCATACATTTTTCTCTTTTATGGCTATACACTTTGGAAATAAGACGGCTGTAAGTAAACCACCATGTGAAACTGCACTTGGAAAGAGCACAGATCACAGACACACTAATAAGGAGTTGGGGCCAGGGATGCTGCCACTAGTTTGGCCAGTTGTCCTGGTATTTTGTGTTCATAGGTTATATCTACAGGTGTTTCTGTGTCAGAAGAGATGAATATTCCTGGTCTCTAACAGGGGTTGGCAAACTATTCTGTCAAGGGCCAGGAAATGTTAAGCTCTGTGAGCTGTGAGTCTGTCACAGCCGTCAGCTTGTCCTCCAGAGAGTAGCAGAGGGCACTTAAGATAATGGGCCAGGTACTGAAGCTCGAGTTTTTAGATCGTGAGAAATGAATGTTCTTTTTCCTTCTCTACCCAAAATGTATGAAGATATAAAGCCATCCTTAGTTCATGAGCTAAGCAAAAATGCCCTAGCCCGTTGCCCCCACCTGTAAGGTGAGATGACATCACTGCCACGGCAGTGACCCTGCAGCCCTGGGGCCGGTGCTGCCCGAGGGCATCACTGCTGTTCTGCTGTGCTCCTGTTTTCCCGGTTTTCTGTTTCCCCTCTGTTTTCCTTTTTACCTTGCCTTTTTTTCCCCTTTGTGCTGTGGATAGAACTCAGTGGCTCACATATTAGACAGACACTTTACCACTGAGCCATACCCCAGGGCCTAGAGATGAACCCACAGTAGCCTTTGTCATTCAGTTGTGGGGCAGTGCCAAATTGTCTGTCTCTTCAGTGACTCCTCGGCTACAGAATGCTTGGTTCTGACAGTTCCATGAACCATAGTATTTTCATCCCTTGGGTGTCTTAATCTTGTAGAGAGTTCACACTTGTAGTTCCTTGCTTAATGGTTTTGTGCATTTCCTCAGCAGCCTGGATGTGTCTGAGTTGGCAAAAGCTGCCAAGAAGAAGCTTCAGTCTGTGAGTATCTCTTCCCAGTGGACCCAGCATGGATACCCTGCTGGTCCCTAGTATCGGTCTGAGTTCCCTGATGTGTCTGATGACTGGTGCATTAGAAGTAGGCTGTCAGGTCTGTGTATAGCAGTGAAGACCAAATGCACTTGAGCATATCCAGTCCACTGACTACTTCACACAATCCATGTTCTTCTCTGTCGGGTTAAAAATGCAGCCCCTGCCTGTGGTAGTGGGATAGTGTTTTCTGCCAGAGTTCTGGGTATTTCTCAGGGTGAGTAGGGTACCCTTCCGTGGCATCTCTTACGTTAGTCACATGGGGTACTACGGAATAGCAATAGCTGATGCTGCCAGGGCACCGAGTCTGGTACATTGTCCACTGGAGTGGTACGACTCTTACCCATCGTATGCCGTTCTTCGGAGCTTTCTAGATTTACACTTCTGAAGCTGACGGTCTGGACCTGTGTGTCTGCCCAGGCCTGTCGGGCACACTCATCTCTGTGTTTGAAGAGGTCCTGGGAGAGAGGTTTGCCTTTGTCAGTCTCTCCCACGAAGCCTCGCCAGGTGCTTATCGGTCCCCTTGTGAGATTTCATGCCTTATTTCTTCTCCATGCTCCCTGCATCAGAACCAAGATCCCTTGCTTTTTTAGTCACCGTTAAGTACCCTTCAGCCCAGTGTCACTTCCCGTCTGGTTAGGTGTACATGCGTTGTTGGGGTGGCTCTGTGACTTAGCTCTCCGAAGCCAAAAGTAGCTGCCTTGGCGCTCTGCTCCAGGCCTCTGGCCTGCGTGTTTGCCTCCCCAGTTCCCATTTCTCTTGGTACTTGTGGAGCCTGAACACCTCCATGGTGTAGGCAAAGCCCAGCTTCCCTGTTTGTGGTTCCCCTCCTTCCCCTTCTCACTAGAGCCCCGTACGGTCTCATTAAGTATCACATAAAGTAAATTTATCCTTACTAGTATTTAACTGTATTGTGAAATAAATGTGTTTTATGCAATTTGTTTGGTGTCTCTGTGTTCTGTATCTGCAGTCTGTGTGTTTGTGTGTTTTAATGCCTTTCTTAAATTTAGGAGGCCATATAGTAAGATAAATGAGATGTCGAACTTTCAAGGCAGCATGTGAGTGTGTGCTTTCCTTTAGTTATTGGCCAACTGTAAGCAAACTTGTGTTATACACAACAGACAGAGAGACTCCTTCTGACTGTGTTGGCTGGGCTGGATGCCACAGAAAACCTGAGCTTGTCTGTAATATCTAACCGGGGACAGGCATTAAATAAATACCTTGGACAGAGTTTAATATGCTCTCAAGACCTTAGGCTGTTTGTCAGGCTCAGCGGCCAGGCTCACCCTCAGCCCTGCCAGCAGAGAACCTCCCCTCCAGCAGGGGTGCTGGGAAAGAGAGCATCCAGGGTCTGCTGCTGCTCATAGGTGGCTGCTCTCATCAGTGCCAGGGTGTGTCACCTCCACCACCTTTCTCCTCCATACACCTTCTTTTCTCTCTTCTTCTTTCATTCCTTCCCTCCCTCCCTGTGTCTGTCTCATACTCACTTTCCTCCCTGCGGAAAACTGAGAGAAATATAACAAAACCAATGTATTCTTAAGTTATTAAATGTTAACATTTTGAAGTCTTAAGGCCAATAGTGTCTGTTCCGCAATTTCCCTGTCTGTAAAATGGGACAATAATAAATCCTGTCTTCACTGATGGTATTAAATAGCAGTGTGGGCCATGTTGCCATTAGTGATAACAAAACAGCTTGCAGTCCAGTCCTTGGAGGTAGAAACTGGATGATTCTCAAGTATGTTCGAGCTCCCAGACTTCCTCGTATTCCCCAGCAAGGTTCTGGGGGGGGGGGGGGTAGTATTTTGAACAATTAGTGTAATGTGAGTACAACAGAAAAATGAAAAGGCTGATGGACTGATGTGCTCGTCCTCAGTCATCTCTCTCTGTGAGCTCAGGCCCAGCATTTTGGTATATTTCCTTCAGTTTTTATTTCCTATTTGTACCTATTTGTATCTTTTTTTCTTCCTCTGGAAATTGTATACCAGAATTTCATACCCTGCTTTTTTTTACCCACTGGGTATCAGGCATTTCCTGTGTTCCTCTGGGGTCTCTGTAGCCAGGGGTTTTTTGTTTTGTTTTGTTTTTTAATTGTTGAATAAAAGACCTCCACGTTCATCCAAGTGGATGTCCCTCCAGATGTCAGGAACAGAGTGACAGTGTGACAAATTCAGCATCTGCCCTCAGAGCACAAAACAGTCAGCAAAGAAATCACAGCTGTTAGGTGTCAGGCTGAGCCAGAAGAGCCAGAACCTGGCTGGGCTTCTTGACTCAGTTGGGAAGACCTTGATAGTCCTCCCAGTTCCTGGCTGCTGCCAGTGAGGACCTTGGTCTGTGGGATTGTGTTGTAAGCTGCACCCCACAGTGCCCTGGTGAGCCACGTTGTGCTTTGCTTGGTAAAGAGACTCAGCTCTTGTGTTGAAAATCAGCAAGAAACCTAGCTGAGAAGTGTCGTGCGGCGTTCACTAGGTTCTGGCTTTGACCGAGACATTGGAGAGAGGGTGGCCCCACCACAGGCATCCTCCTGGTGTTAACTCTTGTCCCTTGTGTCCCTGGTATGTTTACTTTCAGCTAAGTAATCATTTGTTTGAAGAACTTGCCATGGATGTGTACGATGAAGTTGACAGACGAGAGACTGATGCAGGTGACTGACTTACCATGCGGCTTTATCCACTGAGCTTCTGTTCTCCTTGGGCGGTGGCAAGCTGCCAGCCTGTTTTACTGCCCAGTTGCTACTGTCCTCATAACCCGTGTGTTGACATGTCCTTTGTGTGTGTTGGCTTCGGAGTGTGCTTCCCCAAGTCTCCCTCGTAGTGTGTGAGCCACGCCTCCCAGCGGAGCTGCGGCAGGCACCGCAGGTGTGATGAGATTCTGTCTCTGGCTCTTTTCCTCCGGCTAGTCTGGCTTGCCACGCAAAACCACAGCACCCTGGTAACCGAGACAACCGTCGTCCCCTTTCTTCCGGTCAATCCTGAGTACTCCTCAACACGAAACCAGGCAAGTGGCTCAGTGTGAAAAGTTAATATTATTTGGGAAATGGCTGATGTCATGGTAGTTAGTATCCTGTGTACACGTAAACAGACAACTTGAGAATGAATAAAAGCAGATATGAACAGAAATACAAACAACTTTCAGACATGAAAGAAAATGGTAACAGATAGTAAAGGACACTAGGCTGGTGGTGGAGTGTGATGGGCTCTGCTGCTGCTGCTGCTGACAAGACTGTGAGCGGCTGCAGGTGACAGACAAGCGTGTGATCTCGGTACTCAGGAGGCTGGGACAGGAGGACCTCCAGCTGGAAGCCAGCCTGGGCTCCATAGCAATACCGTGACAGATGGGGAGAGGAGTGGGGAAAGGAAGGGAGGAAGATTGTTTACTGATAGATCAGAAGCCTCAAATGTAGGTGAATCCTTGTACAAAGGAATCCTCATTTAAGAATATTTCCAAAAAAAAAAAAAAGGAAGTAGATTTATCCATATGTGTTGTCTGTACCAATACAACATTAAAAGGAGCCTCCCTCTTTGACAGAGGAGTGAGGAAATGACTAACGGCTGTCTGAAGGAATGGAGCCCACATCCACACTCTAACCTTATCTTGAAATATTTAGATTTCCCTCCAGATTGACTTTTCACTCACCTCGAAGTTAAATCATTGATAATAGAGCTACGTTTTTATATTCTGATAGTGCTGGAGGTTGAACCCGGGGCCTCATGTGCTAGTCAGGTGTCCAGCGATGAGCTATACCTCCTACCAGAACCATTTTATTTTAACTCAACAGCAGATGTTGGTGTTAATTGGAGAATGCTGGTGACTGAGTGAATGCGATCGAGCCTAAGTCTGACAGTGTGGAGCACTTGCTGTCACTATTCATGCTACATTTTTACATTGGACACTGTTTCCATTGTTTTCTTCCCTTAGGGCAGACAGAAATTAGCTCGGTTTAATGCCCATGAATTTGCTACGCTGGTCATCGACATCCTCAGTGACGCCAAGAGGAGACAGCAAGGCAGTCCTATGTCCAGGTCAAAAGGCAAGTATCTAGCTCTGAGAGTGTGCCTGGGCCTTCTAAGACATGGTGTTCAGTCCAGAGCCGGGGGCGATGGATAGTCATAAACGTAGCCTAGTCATCCTGAGAGTTTCATTGCTAGTTTATAATGACAGGAGGGTACCTGTTGGAGCTCTGATGAACAAAGAATACTTCAGAATTATCAAGGATTACTCAGATTTATCTTATATGTAATTGTTTTCCTAGTCACTTATTTCCCCATAAAATTAGCACCTTGAAATTAACCCAAAAGCCTAATTTAAAGTGTACAAAGGACATAAATAAGAAAATGACGGCTCTTGATTAGTTATATTCCCCTGCTGTTACATTCAGAGCCCCTCTACCTCTACGTGATTGGAATTTGCTGCTGTAAACTTTAGATGTCTATAGCAAGAAGCATTGTGATTGGAAGTGAAAAACACGCTGAGTGTCCGTTTCAGAATGGCTCTTTTTTTTTTTTAAAGATTTATTTATTATGTATACAGCATGTATGCCTGCAGGCCAGAAGAGGGCACCAGATCTCATCACAGATGGTTGTGAACCACCATGTGGTTGCTGGGAATTGAACTCAGGACCTCTGGAAGAATGGCCAGTGCTCTTAACCTCTGAGCCATCTCTCCAGCCCCCAGAGTGGCTCTTACAAGTCCCATCTGCAGACATAGGAACCCACTTCCCCGTAGCTAGCCCATAACTCTAGTCTCGGTTTTTCTGTGTACGGAAATGACGCCTTTTATTTTTGAGGCACTTAAACAAGATATTTGTACCATAAAAATTAAGGTTCCAGTCAGTATCACATTCCCCAAAGGCAGACAATAAACCGACGATAATTTGTGTTTCCTCTTGTTTGTTCAAGAATTTGGTTCTATTAATTCAACCAAGAATAAAGACTGGGAAGGTGCAGTAGATTGGTAAAGATGCAGTTTGGAGAGTCTGCGTTAATTTGAACCCTCAAAAGAAGCCTCCTCTTAAAGAGAAATGATCAGATGTTTCATGTGTGTTGTATATAATATCAGACGTTAGAAACAGCTACGTAATAAATTCTAGAGGAGCAGTCACAAGAGTAGCACACAAACATTCCAGAAACACTTAGTGATGGAAAGTCAAATAGGACATTTTTAAAGGTGTGGTGTGGTCTCGATTTTGTAAGGGAAGTGTGTTTATATAGATGGCTGTGCCTAGGAGACTGGACCATATAAGAATGTGCACATGGAATTGCTCCTCACCAGCAGATTCAATATTTGCCCAAAGGACATCCTTGGCTGAGGTTGAGTCTGGTTCCTTCCTGCTTCTGTATTTCAGTCCTCATACTGTGGAAGTGCCTTTCACAGACTACTTCGTGCCATGTCTGTTCACGTTCTCATACTTGTTGGTGGTGATTTCACTGCTTAAAAAAAAATGGCTCCGAGCACAGTGGGCAGGTGTTGAGCGATGTCCCTGAGCCCGAGGAGGTGGAAGAGAGGCGTAGTGGGGGGGGGGGGGGGTAGCTTGAGCATCTTCCTGGCATGACTTGAAGTGCTGTTGGCCAACAACTGTGGTCAAGAATCCACGGTGTGTGTTATATAGGGAGTCCTTAGACAGAAGCATGTAAAACAAGGCTGTGTGTTGATTGGCTCATGAAAATGCTGTGGCCAGTGGCTCTCAGGAACTGTAGTCCTCTGTCTCCTCTAAGAACCTCAGTGACAAGGTTTTAGAATATATTCACTGAGAATAACAAGACTGTGTGCATGCGTGCACAGAGAGATGACTAGAGAGAAACAGGCCAGCGTATCAGAGAGACTGCGGTGGTCTCCACTGTCACCCATTAGTGTCTCCATCCCCTCTAGTCAGCCTTTGTCCCTCTGTGTTTTAAAGATTCATTTAAAAAATTAAAATAACACCTGTGCTTAAGAAGCCAGAATTCACTTCCAGATGAAGCTACCTATAAAACAGCATTAGAAATTGGAGCATAACTTGAGTTGCCCCAAATAAATCACAAACTTAGGTGGTTTGTGAACTTTTATTCTAAATGCATCAGAGCCTGTAAGTCACTGTTCCTGGTCTGTGGAATAGACAGGACTGATGATGTACACGTGTGTCACCTGGATTCAGATGACTCAGTGTTACTTGTTCCTAGTCTGTAAGCACCTGGTTTCTAGGCTGTGTGCTTCCTGGGTGTTTGTTTTTGAGGCATGCTCTCTATGTAGGTGAGGCTGGCCTCTAACCTCTAGGAATCACCTGCCTCTGCCTCCCTGGTGCTTCGATTAAAGGCGAGTGTAACCATGCCCGGCTACTTTCTGTTAACTGGCCACTCCCTATACGAATGTCAAAAGTATCATCCAATTGCATCACTTCGCCTTACAGTCTCAGCTGTGACGCTGTGCTCCGTGTGTGCAAACCTGGGACTTAGCTTCTCAATTGCATCACTTTGCCTTACATTCTCAGCTGTGACGCTGTGCTCCGTGTGTGCAAACCTGGGACTTAGCTTCTCAGTCTGGCAGCCCCGGAGCTTGTCCAGCCACAGCGGGTGGACAAGCGGGTTTTTTTTTTCTTCTCTCATACATTATATTCCCAACTGCAGATTCTCCCCTCCCCCAGTCTTTCCCTGACTCTTCCGCTTTCCCCCAGATCTACCCCCACTCTGTCTCCCCTCAGAAAAGAGCAAGCCTCCCAGGGCCATCAACCAAACACGGCATAACAAGCCACAGTAAGACCAGGCACATACCATCTCATCTAGACTGGACGAGGCAACCCAGTAGGAGGAAAAGGATCCCACAAGCAGGCAAAAGAGTCAGAGACAGCCCCCCAATCCCGCTCCCACTGTTAGGAGTTCCACAAGAACACCAGGCTACTCAGCTGTAATGTATGTGCAGAGGACCCAGGTCAGATCTCTACAGGCTTGGATCAGGGACTGTTGACCTTCACTGTGTAGCTGTCCGTTGGGCTGCTTACTTTCTGTTAGCCCTCTGTGGGTAAGAATGTAATGTTCTTATTTCTCTCATTTTCTTTCAGTCCTTTAAATGGGTAAACCAGAAAGTCATCCTAGTAGTTTTTTAGGAGGAAAGAATGGATTGTAAGTCTGAAATAGTTTTCCTGCTTCTGTGAACAGAGAATGTGGAACTCATACTGAGAACCGTCAGTAACCAGCACAGCACTGAGAGTCAGGACAACGACCAGCCAGACTATGACAGTGTGGCCTCAGACGAAGACACGGACGTGGAGACCAGAGCGAGCAAGGCCAACCGGCAGAAGGTGAGAGGACACACGTAGACGGGACAGACGTGTGTCTCTTCAACTTCTTCTCCCACTGGGCCTGACTCTGAGTGGCACAGAGCTTGCCGAACATGAACAAGGCCCTGAGTTCAATTCCCAGCACCACCAGCAAAAGCACACATACACATGCAAAAACAATAAAACTTGCCTGCAAAATTGCAAAGGTTAGCCCTTCAAAGGTGCTATGGATGAAACTGGGTTCCCTGCTACCTCAGGACAAGCAAAGATAAAAAGTAAATGCTCTGAAAATAAGCAAATGAAAAGTCATCCCTGTTGGTGTCATGACTGTTTTGTGGGGCATGACCAGAAGCTTTTATGTGCTCAAATTTTTATCAGGTGGTTTCTCTGCATGCTCTTCTCCCAGTCAGGCTCTTCTCCTTTCCCCAGAAGAGGTCACTGTTGGGGAAGTGGATGGTGACAAGAAAAGGTGCACTACACAGTGGTGTGAGTCGTAAAGGACGAACAGGCTAGGAGGGGCAGAGACCGAGCACCAAGGGTGGAGGCTTGGGCAGTTTAGGGGTCTTAAGCAGAAAGAAAGTGGAGCAGGGTAGGCTGGGCAGAGAGGAGGACCAGCCTAAAGGTCGGTCACACAGCACAGAGGTTGTGACACCACCTTGGAGGACTAAGGCCTAGAGGGCAGTGCAGAGCCCAGAAGCTTTAAGCTGGAAAGGGCTGACCACAGAGCTCCCTCAGGGCTTAGGCCAGAGGGGCCAGTGGGAGAGACTGAGGCACTGTACTATAAACATGAGATAAGGCCCCACCCACTGCAGGCTGGAGCCCCAGGACTGACTCCCTGAGGCACTCCACAGACACTAGAATACTGAACAAGAAGATAGGCTTGAAGCAGGGGGATTGACAGAGATGTGTTCAGCATTTGCTACCTCACATTGGCAGAAGGGACTGTCTGGACTACCCAGGTGCCAGTCCAGGCAGTGAAAGCCAAGGTCATTCCCAGACCCTCGAGCTAGACCCTCCACTGAAAGACTAGGTTCCCACTTTTCCTCCAAACATTGGCTCCCTCTAGCTGAGCTCTGCTGCTGGTTGGAAGCTTCTCCGGACCATTCTCACTGATGCCCCCCGCTCCTCAGACACTACTTAAAGACCACCCAACTCCTTAACATGCAGCCTGGTCCAGCTTTCTCCCTCCCCTGCTCCACTGTGTCTGTCTCCACAGCACTAATCACCTCAGTCCTGCTGTGATTCCGTGTTAGTCCTCCCTCTCACCCGCTGGGGCACACACACCATGGAAGCGGCAGTCTATTTTCTCTCCTGATACGTCCCACTCACTGGAAATGGCTTGATGCTCAGGAAGTAGTATGGAATGAATGAATTCTTGAAAGAATGGGTTTTAAATTAGCAAGGAAAATGTGTGCAAGTCAGGGCAAACCTTAGACAGTCAGCGTCTGCATAGGTTTGCAGCTCCCTACCTGCTCCTGTAGGAAATTCTGCCTTTCAAAGTCAGAAGTACTACAGGGCCCCTGCTTCTCATTTGGTTTAACTTTGCAGTTCAGCTGGCATGGCCAGAGATTGAGATTCTTTAGCTGTAGTCTTTAACATCGTCATCTCAGATTGTGAACGTTTTCCCCAATTTATTTTTAGAGCCTAGATTCAGATTTGTCAGATGGACCAGTCACTGTGCAGGACTTTATGGAGGTCAGAAGCGCCCTAGTGGCTTCTGAGGCCACGATACAGCAGCTAATGAAGGTGAATAACAACTTGAGTGACGAGCTGAGAATTATGCAGAAAAAGGTAACATGCTCATAAACGCCAGGATGGTGACTTGCTGACCCCAGAGCAGAGGGAGAACCCTGGTCACCATGAGTGTGCCAAGGGAAGGGAAACATTGACTGTAGCAGACCTAGAGATCCGGGGCCAAGGAAAGCTGTTGTCGTCTTGGAAGCAGGATGTGTGTGGATGTTTGAAGTGTTTCTGATGAGAAATGCATCCAGAGGAGGACTAGGGACTGTAGCTCAGTGGTAGAGCATCTGCCTAGCGTGCATGAGGCCCTAGGTTCAGTTTTCATGTTTGCCTGGGGATGTAGTTCAGTGTGTGCTTCTAAATGCATCGTTTGCATCTAAAAATGCATCCAGAGTAAACTCTCCACTCAAGAGACCTAACCAACAGCCTAGTGTTTGTGTGAGGCAGCATAGCTTTGCCCTATCCTGGGCTTCCTGGGTGTCTGGAAGCTACTACTTGGATGTGACACCACACCACACACACTCCAGTTACTGATTCTAAAGATTAATCACACCATGCAGAGAAAGAAGGTAAAGAATGTGCTTATCAGCATGGAGGTCTTATCACCTACCATGCAGGGTGCTTCCTCTGTTGGCACTGACTGACTGCTACCCTGCAGCCCTCCTCTCCCACATCTCAGTCCACTCATTCCACCTACTAGCAAGGAGTGACAGCCCCTGTGGTCAGCACATTCCTAGCTAGTCCCCTAGAGCAGTGGTTCTCAACCTGTGGGTCACAACCCCCAAAGACCATTGGAAAATACTGGGAACTGCATGAGTGCATTCACCTGTACGAGTAGTTGGTAGTAGGAAGCTGTGGGGCAGGGCGGTGAGAGTGGGACATTGAGAAGCAACAAGCACCACCCCCAGATTGTGGTTTCTGCACTCATTGGTTCTCTTGAGAAACAAGCTTTTTATGTACCCCAGAGACTGGTTTGTGTTTTTATGTTGTCGTCAAGGAATGCTATTTCAGATTTTAAAACTTTTTAACTTTTTTTTTTTTTTTTTGGTTTTTCAAGACAGGGTTTCTCTGTGTAGCTTTGGAGCCTGTCCTGGCACTCACTCTGTAGACCAGGCTGGCCTCGAACTCACAGAGATCCGCCTGGCTCTGCCTCCCGAGTGCTGGGATTAAAGGCTCTGCCACCACCATCCAGCTTCAGATTAAAAAACTTTTAAGGCCAGGTCACAAGGTGCACTTCTAAAGGAAAGCCAGAGAATTGAGCTCTTGCTTGCTGGGATTCAGGTTGTGAGACCCTTTGAAATGGGTGGTTCCATACCTGTACTGCAGAGGATGAGAATGCCTTAGATCATTCAGCCCCCACAGACCAGTGCTCGGTCCTGCCTCACAGCCCCATCTAGGCTAGTGCACAGCAGAGACCAACAGGCTGCAATCCCTTTGCTGGAACATCAGGACTTGCATTTCCTCCACCTTTTCTGAGACACAAGGATGTAGTTTAATGTGTCATCACACAAGTCATTTTCTTGGAGTGATGTCTTTGTTCTGACACTTGCCTTTGTGGAGCACTCTGTCAGACATCACCTTTTTCCTGTAGCTCTCCTCTTAGTGTCTTTAGAGTTCATCACATGGTGCTGGGAGACGGCTCAGTGGGTAAAACATTTGCCGGGAAAGGCGAGGACTGAAGTTCACACCCCCAGAATCCATGTAAGAAGCCAAGTTGGGCACAGTGCTCCACTTGCAATGGCCGGGCACCAGAAGCAGGATGGGTTCTCCAGAGCAAGCCACTAGCCAGGCTAGACCAAACAGTGAGACACCTTGTCTCCATCTGTAAGGGAGAGAGCGACTGAGGAAGGTACACACACAGATGCAGAAAAATAAGGAGAACTACAGTTGGCTGGGGCGATGGCTCAGCGGGCCAAGGAACTCACTGCAGAAGCCTGACGGCCTGCATTCAATCCCAGCACCTGCATAGAGGCAGGAAAGGACTCCGCACCATTGTCCTCTGACCACCCCAGTGCACACTTCATACCCATGCACAGAGTCATTTTTTGTTTTTATTTTAATTTCTAGAGGCAATCCATATCTCTGAAAGCAGGTGTCTTGAGTTTCTTTAGGAAATGTAGAGCAGAGACTGGGGAGGTGGCTTATGGGTAAGGCACTTGCCACCAAGCCTAATGACTTACGTTCAGTCCCCCCAACACACAGTGGAAGGAAGGACCCAACACCCCAATATCCGCATACGTGCCGTGATGTGCACTCGCCTAGGCGCATACATGTACACACAAAGAAAGAAATAGAAATTTTAAAAAGGAAATGTTGAGCAGGGCCATTGTCCATTGATTATCTTTTCAATTCTTACAAATACTTTTGGTTTCTGAAACTATTGAATTATCTGTAACTTTTTATTTCCTGCCATATTTTTTCCAAACAGTGTAGCTTTTGTTTTTTGTTTTTCATTTTTTGTTTCTCGAGACAGGATTTCACTGTGTTGTGTAGCTCTGGCTGTCCTGGAGCTTACTCTGTAGACCAGGCTGGCCTTGAACTCACCAAGATCCTCCTGCCTCCATGTGTTGGGATTAAAGGCATGTGCCACCACTGCCTGGCTGCCTCGTTCTTATAAACATCGTTAAAGTTTATCTAAGGGCATCTTCTTTGTAAATACAGAGTAAATTTTTTTTTAAGTTGACACAGCCTTGTAATCCCAGGCACTTCATAGGCTAAGGCAGGAGAATCACAAGTTCAGAGACTTCTTGGGTTAAGAACTAGTTCAGACCAGCCTGAGTAACTTGTACTCTGTCTCAGCATGCCAGGGTCACGGCTCTGGTAGACCATGTGCCTCTGTGCTTGAGGCCCTGGATTAAATCCTGTGTGAGGGGCTGGGGCAGTTGAAACCAAGAACTTGTTCTCATCTCAGAAGACAGTTAGCAAGACCCAGACTGGACATTTCAGAGGCAGCAACAGTGTTGAGAGAGTTTCTGATTTCACAGCCTCGTCTGAGATGCCACGGTGGGCTTTTAATGTAGACAGACACATGAGCATGGCACTCGGGGACGTAATCACTTACACTCTTCACTCTTTGGACCGTGACCATTTCACTGAGGCCACCCAGTTCCCCGTTCATCATCCTGACAGGCCAGTCACACGTGTCTGTGTCCTGGAATGCAAGGGTTGCTGGAGGCTCTCTCTCCTTGAAGAAGAGGTTGCAGATATAGGCGAGGAAGCCATGCTTCTGTGGAAGTGTGGCTCTGCTGATAGAAAGACCTGGGGCTTGTTTACTAGCAAAGGATGTATCGATTTTATTTCAAAGCTAGATACAGTTTTTAATAGAATTGGCAAAGTAGTATGATTTATGTCTGATCTCTCACATTTAACAGTTGCTTGGAAACGATGCTAATTAATGAAGAGGACCGGCCACTATTGATGTATTTTGCACAGATGTGTGCTTTCTAAATAAGAATTGAAAGTTAGCTCCTAATACTGCATGAGCTTGTATTGGAAAGTAAGGATCTCCCAGTGCAGACACAGTTGCTTATGGACTTAAACCTTGTCGATGGAGGGCAGTTTGGTCAGAGGTATATTCTTCAAAGAGTAGGCAGTTGATACAGTGTCAGGAAGTTGCCATACAGAGGGGAGGCACCAAAGAGCATGGATACAGTTACTTGTATTTAAGTCGCCAGCCCCACAATTCCTTGCTGCTCTCTTCACCTTGAAGCACCCTAGATGTGAACATGGAGAGTACTCAGGGCCTCAGTACCTCAGGTGTCAGTGTCTGACCAAAGCCAGGTGCCACCAGGCAGGCTAGCTCCTGTAGAGCCACATTGTCGCTGACGGCATGGTTTTTGAGTGACAGAGCCGATGAGAGGAAGGTCGGATGCACCAGCCCTGGCAGAGGACTGGTCACCAGGAGAAGCACATGTGCCTGTGAAATGCCTTCATGTGAAGATGCTAACGTAGTCCAATAGGCTGCCAGTTTTCTGTGGTACGGGAATTTAGTGAACTCACCATGGTTTGGTTCCCTCATACTCTTAAAGACATGCTTGAAAGTGCCTGGAATATCAAGAGTGCCGTGCAATAAAAGATTTTCATCCCAGTTTTTCTTGTTGGGTCTTTAGAAAGCAGTAGGCACTGGGGTTTTTCCTGAGCTGAACCTCACTCCGTTTCCTGCTTTGCACAGCAACTCTGGTTTCTCCGTGCTGCTTCCGTGGTGTCTCCCGTCACTTCTCCTGTTTGCAAATGCTCAGGGATCATGTAAAAAGAATCTAGTTAACGCTCTGAACCGCTTCCTTGAAACAGAATACAGCTTGTCTGCAGATGTTTCTGGCCCCACCACGACAACTTTTTAGGTGGTTAGACTTGAGTTTCTCGTGAGCCTGTGTGACAGAAAAGTGGGTTATTCTGGAGGGAGAGTTATGGCTTCCACTTGCAGCCCCGCTAGCTTTACTGTTCGCATGAGGCCGGTACTGTGCTCATGTATTTGATGTTTGCTTCGTCTGCTTACTGTGCAAAAACACAGGCCCACTGCCTGACATTTCTTTCAGCTTCAAACGCTCCAGAGTGAGAATTCAAGCCTCAGGAAGCAGGCCACAACCAATGCCTGTCAGGTGCAGACTGGCCCTGACTACCCAGACACTTCCAGCCACTCATCCTTAAAGCGCCGGCCGTCGGCCCGGGGCAGTAGGCCCATGTCCATGTATGAGACTGGATCAGGTCAGAAACCATACCTCCCACTGGGGGAAGCAAACCGCCCTGAGGAGAGCAGGACGAGACTTCAGCCTTTCCCTGCTCATGTAAGTAGCACTGTTGTGTGTCTGTCCCTACTGTGTGCTCTGACTGCGTGCTCCTCTTCTGACCATGTGATCTCTGGGCTCTGAGAAGTGCCATGGGTTTGCTGAGTGGACATGACTACAAGTGCTCCCAATGTGCCCATGGGCGCACGGGCTTGTGGGCTGAAATGTTTGGGCCAGGTTGGGCATTCTGGCTCTTGCTCAGCCCCGCCCCTTCAGTTCCTCTCTTTCTGTGATGTGTTTCCCAGACTGTTGCCAATTTTTGTGTAAAGCATCCCTCCTGATTCCACAAACAAAAGCCAATTGTAAAGGTTCCTAGCCGAAATGTCTTTGTCTTCAAAATAGACAGAGATTGGGGCTGGAGGCATGGCTCATGGCTCAATGCTCTTGCAGAGGACCTGGGTTCATGTCCTACACCCCCATGGCAGCTCACAACTGTCTGCAACTCCCCATTCAAGGGATTTGACACCCTCTTCTAGCCTCCAAGGGCACTGCATGCACATGCCACACAGACATGCCAGCAGAACACTCCCACGTAAGGTGATCTTTAGAAACACAGCAGAGTAGGCAGAGGCATGCCCCTCTATGAACGTAGCACGTAGGACCAAAGATGCTCTTTGGGGCCCTGCGACCTGACGCACGGAGCTGAGACCCTGGGCTTCAGCGCCCTGTTGACTGACCTCAGCACAGCTATTAGCTTGGCTCGGTCATTTCATAAAGACGCAGTCTAAGCAGCAATGAAAGCAGCACTCAGGAAGCTGAAGCAGGGGGATTGCCTGGACTATATGAGGAGAGCTTATCTCCAAAAATAAAAAGATGTAAATAATAGAAACTGCACCTACCCCACAAGTGTCAGTTCTGAAGACTGCTCTGCAGCAGGCTCTCATGATCTTTGCAGTGACTCACAAATTGGTATGCAAGTTTTCAGACATTAAAATGCTCTTTCTTCTGGATTGGTTTATTATGAAGTTGTCTGTTTTCACAGAATGCCATGAGCATACACTGCCTTCAGAGTGTCATAGTTGTTCTTCTGAGTGTCTAAGTTATTTCTTCAAAGTAAATAAAGAGTTTCAATAAAATCCTTAGGGTAATGCAAAGTAAATGGTAAGATCTAATAAACTAGCCAGGTAGTGGTGGCATACCCCTTTAATCCCTGCACTCAGGAGGCAGAGGCAGGCAGATCTCTGTGAGTTCGAGGCCAGCCTGGTCTACAGAGCCAGTTCCAGGACAGCCAGGACAATTACTCAGAGAAACCCTTTCTTGAAATACAAGAAGAAAAAAAAATCTGATAAATTAAACTGATTTTAATTTTGTCAGCTTTAGAGTGGTAAAGCTGAAGTATTGTATGTAACCAGGAGTCCATTTCTCAACTTCTCTTTATTTGGTTTAATGCTTGAAGACAATATATTTGCCTTTGACCTAAGTGAAAAAGAATCTAATTTTTATATAACTGAAAACAAAACTTAGGAAAACCCACCTTGGTAACTTACACAGTGTACTTGATTTTAGAGGAAATTAGGGTGCACGGCTGTTGTGTGTCCCGTGTCTGTCGTGCTGAAGATTGGCGTGCTGGTGTGTACCAGTTTTGTCATCCACAGCACTTACGTCACATTGCCCCTCTTCATTGGAGAGCAAGCGTTGTTCACTGTAGGCTGTGCATTAACAGTAAGCGCTGCCACTTTTGACCGTACGCCAAGCATAGCTGTGATGGCTGTGCTATCTTTTCCCTCCAGCAGAAGTGGCCTCTTAATGGAGAGTGGTTTCCAGCAGGCACTAAGCCTCTCAGGAGCTGTCACAACTGTCACTGAGTTCTTGGGACTATTGTATGATGAGCTGCAGGATGGGAGGTGGGCCTTGGTTTATTTTGTATTTTCCCAAGCTTGTTTCTCTCTCCACTTCCAGATCGGGAGGAGTGCACTTGTGACCTCCTCTTCGTCTCTGCCTTCCTTCCCCTCCACACTTTCCTGGTCCAGGGACGAAAGCGCCCGAAGGGTTAAGTACAGTCTGAATGGTCTGCCCTGGCGGAGGGGCAGTGCTCCTGGGCGCTTTGTGCTTGGGCGCTGGCCCTCCTGTCCCTGCCCCTTGCTAACTGCCCTCTGTCCTGCATGAAACGGCAGCAGCGGCGCTTTGCTCCTGGTTTCTCACGGCAGCAGCCACATGCACATCTGTCCTAGAGATCCAGCCTCCCTTCTGTGTAACTCCACATCGCTCCTTTCACCTGTCTAACCAAGGGCACAGATCAGCCTGTAGCACTCACTCTAAGCATACTGTCTTGTTAAACAAACAGAACATTTAGCTGGCTGCTGGTTAACTATAACAGGGCAAATGTAAGTTTTTGGAGCTGCAGTTATTTAAAGTGTTGTGTTTGGGTTAGCACAAAAGTGTCCTGACTTACTTTATGCTGGCACCATCATGTCTGACAAACCCAGCCCTCAGTGGTGCTGTCACGCTTGTGCAGAGGTGAGGTGGCCGTAGGCTTAAACTGTCTGCTTGTACTGATTGGCCAGACCCTTGTGCTGGTGTGTGCCTCACCCTCTGAAGAGTAACATGATCAAGCCCCTCTAGAGGGTCGCCTCCCCCACACGCACCTTTAAGAAAGGCAGCTAAAGGGCGCAAAGGAGTTAAGTGTTCTGGTCCCTGTACCCAAAGGACCGCCATGTAGAAAGGAGAATGCTTTCACATGTACAGAGAGCATGACGACTTCCTCTGAGGAAGGCTGTGGGGAGAGCCCGAGCGGTGGAGACCTGCCCTTCAGTTCTAGCTCAGTCTGTCTGGAGCAAGGGTGAGAAGAGGGAAGAGAACTGGGGGCAAGAGAGCACCTCCCCCGGCAAGGCTTTGTGGGTCCCCTCCACCCCTCAGAGTGATGGGGACCCCGGCTGCTGCCAGGGTCACGTGGCTAGCCAGGTCTGAGTTTCCTTTTGAAGTGGTGGGCTAGCCAGGTCTGAGTTTCCTTTTGAAGTGGTGACGTCCAAAGATGTCTTGCTGTTTGGTACTTGCAGTCTTCTGAGGAGTCCTGACGGCCTGCTTAGTGGTTTGTTCCAATCCAGCGAGAACAGCAAAATAATAAGGAAATCCCCCATTTTGTTCATAATTTTGTTAATGAGAGCCAAGTAGGCCCTCCTTACCCACCATAACATTTTGTAGTTTTTAAAGTATGTATGGCGTTTTGGTAGCCTCGAAAAAGATCAGTTGCTGAAATGGTTTTGTGCCGTGATGAGTGAAGTCATTCAGGCCCATCCGAGCTCCTGGCAGCTTTGTCGTAGGTTAGGTTTCTGTGGTCTGTCTGTGCAGAGAAAATGGCACGTTGTTAAAGAGCTGAAGAAACAGCAGCTATAAGGTGACTTTTCTATTAACAGCTTTGAGAGCAGCACTTAACAGCCCTGGCTCTGCATGTTCACAATACTTTTCATAAACTTAAATGCTGGCTACATTGAAATCCTGAAATATGCTTTTTTGACGGCGGCGGAGGACTCAGTGCGTAAGTAATTGACCCTGGGTGATTGTCCTCTGCACTGGAGGAGCACTTCCTGAGCACTGGGAGTGGGTGTGCGGCTCACTCTTCAGAGGCTTCACACAGAGCTTGGCACTTTGGATCACTGTGGGTAATGTATTCCATTTCTGACTGTCGTCTTGACATCAGGGGAAGCAGAATCATCTGCTGTAGAGACAAGGGATTGCAGGAGACAGGAGGATTACAATTTTAAGACAGACCCGGCTACATAGCAGGGCTCTGTCTCAACATCCAAAATATAAGGTGTGGAAGATATTAGTTTTGTCTTCCAGATTTTTCCTCCCATGGGAGCAGCTCTGAATGGACTGTCCAGCTTCGTGTGTGCATGTGTTTGTGTGTGTGCATATTTGTTTGAAATTAAAAAAAAAAAAAAGATTAGCCAGACATTCCCTGTAAAAGGTAAGAAAGGTCTTAGAGAGGTGTGGTTCTGAGATCAGACCCACAAGACTCCGCTCTCACCGCCCTGCACTGAATATGGCGCCCTCTGTCTTCTCGGGGCCTCTAGTGTCGGTAACCCACTGATTTGAGCCGCAGTGAGCAGGCGCTCAAGAGTTTAACTTTAATCTCACAAGGTTCCAAGCCAACACCTGGTCGTTTACCAGATGAGTGGGAGCGGGTAAGAAAGTCGGTATTAGGAAGCCAGCCCTAGTGTCTTCTTAGAGGGGGAGAGGAAGTCCAGGAGGAAATGTGAAGGACCTCAGCAGACAGACAGTGTGGTGGGACTGAGGAGACGCCCCCCTTGGAGCTGGCCAGACCACAGACCTTAGGCAGACTTCCTCAGTCAGCTTCCTCTGGCAGCCATTCTTCTGGAGGAGGCTGCACTGTCTCCTGTGTCTAAGCAAAGCCTTCACAGCTGCGGCCTTTACCACACTGTCCCGCCGCACCGGTTAAGTCCCTGTCATGTGTGGCTGGAAACAGGCAATCAGTAATGGTGTAGATTTTGCATCGACGTACGCTCATTTCTAGATAAGGGATTGTCACACACAGTAAGATGAGCGCCGAGAAATGGTTTCTCTACACGCTCCAGACCAGACTCCTCCAGAGGATGTGGTCCTTGCCACATCTTGTCACACTGAGAGGCCCTGCCTTTAATGGCACTGCCTTTCCCTTGCAATGTTTTTAGGCATTCCCACTTTGAATCTACAGCCCATTTTGAACCTCCATAGTTAGACTGAATCTTTGCATCTTGAGAGATAAATATTTTGAGAAACAAGTGATGTGGAACTAAGTCATACTGGGCTAATCCATTTGGTTCACAGGCAGCACGTGGCTTTCTCAGAGAGGGCTCATAGAAACCATCCCTGAAGGCAGTTCTTAGCGGCAGTCACCCAGACTTCCCAAGCATGTAGTAATGTGGGGATCTGCAGAAGGCTTGAGCCCCGGCTCTTGGCTCCTCTGCAGACTCTGCCTGAGGGTGAGCAGCTAGCTCTTGGTCCTTCTTCCCATCTGGTGTTAAACTGATGGGTTACAGTCAGCTTCCAGCTCTGACGGTGTGTATTCAGACATGGGCCGCTGTGTTTGTTATTAACTGCATCTCGTTCCCTCCACTGAGAACTAAATGAGGCTTGTGTGTGTGCCCTTGTCAGTGCGTGTGTCTGTTCAGGAGTGGACCCGGTGTTCACTCACCTTCACTGCGTTCCCACTAAAGGGCTGCTTCCTGACCCACATGAGCTCTGGGTGTGAAGGTAACCCAGCCTGGCAGGCGTGCCTCCCTGGGAAGACTGAGGAAGGATGGGATGCTCAAAACTAACGGGACCCTGTCTCTTTGCAGACATCCAGGCTGGAGAAGCAGAACAGCACCCCAGAGAGCGACTACGACAACACCCCCTATGACACTGAGCCAGATGACACAGTGTATGTGCAGGAGGGAGTCGGGGACAGTCGGGCGGGACCGTCGGGGCTGTGAGCACAGACTCGGCAGCCTGGGCCGCCTTTCACCCCTTTCCTGCAGACCGTCAGGGTCTTAAGCTGCTTGAGTTTCCTGGTGTCATAGGCTGTGTGTCTTCTGTACTCACATCGCCACCTCAGTGCCGGCCGTTTGCCCCTGTACCAGCCTGCTGCAGGGCTGCAGTGTCTGCAGTGGACATCAGTGCCGCATGCCAAGCTGATAGGAGCTAGAGGCTGAGTGTTTCTCAAGGAATCCGCAGCCTGGGGATGGCTGTTTGCAGCTGCCCCTCCCCATCTGTTTTTCCTCAGTCTCTCTCCTTCACCCTGTCTCCAGCAGCCCTAACTCCAGCCAGGACAAAGTGAAAGGCTGTGGGTCTCCTGTTAGGCAGGAGAAGGGAACCACAGAAACAGCTCGTGAGCGCTCCTCGGGCTTAGCCGTTCTTAACTGTCCACAGGTCAAACCGGAAAGGACGGCAGAGGAGTATGGTGTGGCCAGGTGACGGCTCATTGCCAGACACAGCAGAGCTCCACTTGGTCCCCAGCTCCACGCTCCCCAGCACAGAAGATGTCATCCGGAAGACTGAGCAGATCACCAAAAACATCCAGGAGCTCCTGAGAGCCGCCCAGGAGAACAAACATGACAGGTACGAGCTGCAGCCGTGCTGGGAGTGCGCACCTGTGCCAACGGGGGTGGGGTGTGCTCTGAGTGTGCACACCTGTGCCAGCGGGGGTGGGGAGGTGCTGTGAGTGCGCACCTGTGCCAGCGGGGGTGGGGCGTGCTCTGAGAGTGTGCACCTGTGCCAGCGGGGGTGGGTGTGCTCTGAGTGTGCACCTGTGCCAGCGGGGGTGGGTGTGCTCTGAGTGTGCACCTGTGCCAGCGGGGGTGGGGTGTGCTCTGAGTGTGCACACCTGTGCCAGCGGGGGTGGGGTGTGCTCTGAGTGTGCACACCTGTGCCAGCGGGGGCTGCTTGAGTTCCGCTCTGACTTCAGGGTGGATGGAAACTTAAACACAATGTGTGTGGCTTGAGTTTGGGGTTTTTAGTGTGGAGGTTTTTGTTTTCATCACGTTACAAAGTCATCTAGAATAAATACATCTAGAAATAAAACTGCAGTGTCCTGGGGACAGCACGGGGGAGGAGACCACCTCACAGCTTGAAGGCCCTGCTGCTCTAGAGTCAGTCCCCTTGGGACTCCAGACAGGAGGTGTCCTGAGGGGAGGCTGCTCTTGACCTCTCTGGCTCCCTTGTGTGTGTGACACACACACACACACACACACACACACACACACACACACACACACACACGCAGAGTAATATAAAATTAGAAATAGAGATGGCTTTTGATAGTCTTTACTCAGAAGTCAGTTTTATGGTTTTAAAAAAACGAGGAAAGACTGTTACTTGCTTGCGGCTTTGAGTCTGTGGTGATTAGGAACACCTTCATCAGGCTAAACCTACAGCAGCCTGGGCAGTGTTTCTTTGCAGAAAATACCTCCCAACATTCTTTCCCGGTGCCCATGTCCCTCCCATGCAGCGAGGAAGTCCTGCACACATAGCCAAGGCTTAGTGGCAGTGTTACATTAAGAACTGTCACTCAGTACCCCATCAGCTTGTGTTAGAGCACATAGTCCCTCCCCAGGCTGAAGACCTGACATGGTGTGCTGTAGTGAATCCCCTGCGCTCTGTCAGGGTGCCTCAGATAAGACTCCTGCTCAAAGCCGGGGTCTTGGTTCTTCCCTTTCTCTTTTTTGGTTTTTCGAGACAGGGTTTCTCTGTGTAGCTTTGATGCCTTTCCTGGAACTCACTCTGTAGCCCAGGCTGGCCTCAAACTCACAGAGATCTGCCTGGCTCTGCCTCCCAGTGCTGGGATTAAAGGCGTGCGCCACCACCGCCCAGCAGTTCTCCCCTTTCTCATTACGAGTCAGCTGGCCATGCCTGCGTGGAGAGAGGCTGTTTACAGATGACAGTGTGAAGCTGTTATCTCCTTGCTCTCGGAGCAGCCGAAGGAGAGGAGCTGTGTGCCTTCCATGGCCAAGCAGCACATGGTGAGGTGGAGGCACTGGTGGAATTGGAGGGATTTTTTTTTATCAGTCTTTCTTCTTCACCTTTGTGGAACTTGGCACGGGACCGTTGCTCCTCTTCCTAGAAACCTGGAAGGTAGATAGGAGAAGTAAGTGAGCAGGCTGAGCACGTGGTTGTCTTCATCTCTGTGGCCCAGAGCACACAGTGCACATTGCAGGCCTGGGGACTGTTATGGGGTGAAGGTGTGCTTCTGAAAGGAGGGGGACCTGCTCTGTAGCTGTGTGTCCGCCGTCAGGTGTGCACAGAACCTCAGCCCTGCATTAACAGAGTGGAAATGGAACCGGTCTGGCCGCTGAGCACTCGTTACCTCTGAATCATTTGAGCTGCTGCTTAACGACCTCTTCAATATCTTACAGCTATATTCCCTGCTCAGAGAGAATACATGTCGCTGTTACTGAGATGGCAGCCTTGTTCCCCAAAGTAAGTCACTCCCTACCAGCCCTCTTTGACTGAGTTTCTCAGCATTGCTTCCTGACCTATGTACTACTGTCTTTGGTGAGGAGTGGGGTGCTGGGATGAAGCCTAGGGCCCTGCGTGCACTAGGCCCACTCTGCTGTCTTGCTGTCCAGTCACCCATGACCTTTCTCTTACATTTTTGTAGCACACAGCTCTTAAGTACATCACCTTGTAGGACTTTGAGATGTTCTTAGTGTGCACGAATATCCGTTTTAGTGAGATGTGGATATATGTAAGTCAGGTGCTGCAAAGGCAAAGCAATAGAATAAAGTTTAGGATATATTACCTATAAGATTATTTTCAAATACCTTAAAACAGCACATACTACTAAAATTCTTCTCAAATGTAAGCATTTCCTCACTGCTTAGGCCCTTGTTGGCGAAGCTGGTAACGTTTTTTTTTTTTTTTTTTTTTTTTTTTTTCGAGACAGGGTTTCTCTGTGTAGCTTTGCGCCTCTCCTGGAACTCACTTGGTAGCCCAGGCTGGCCTCGAACTCACAGAGATCCGCCTGGCTCTGCCTCCCGAGTGCTGGGATTAAAGGCGTGCGCCACCACCGCCCGGCTGCTGGTAACGTTTAAACACAACTCCAGGTGCTCTCGGGCAGCTTACTCCTTGCTGCTGGGGTCCACCCTGCAGCCCACAGCCTACCGTGTCCTCTTCATTTTAGAAACCCAAGTCTGACACGGTGAGGACTTCCCTCCGGTTACTGACGTCCAGTGCCTACCGGCTCCAGTCGGAGTGCAGAAAGGCCCTCCCGGGAGACGCGAGCTTGCCCACAGATGTGCAGTTGGTCACTCAGCAGGTCATCCAGTGTGCCTATGACATCGCCAAGGCCGCCAAACAGCTGGTCACAATCACCACCAAAGAGAACAACAACTGAGCTTGAGGCATGGCCCTGTTTTCTAGGCTTCTGGAAGTCCAGCTTCGGTGTAGACCTGAACTCTTCAGATTTTTACAGAAACGTTAATGATGATTTGAAACTTTTTAAAGAAAACTCAGTATTATTTTTGCATGTTTTCTAACAGACTTCTGACTGTGACTTACCGTTGCCTTACCTGTGCCTGTTTGCAGCCCATTCCTGCTGTGTTGCCGCCAGGCTTAGATCATGACCAGATGTGTGTCAGGTCTCTGTGCGGAGTTCGCTAAAACTCTCCCATCCCTTAAAACTCTCTACCCATGGCTGAAACTATAACTGATATTTTTAGTAAAACCTTTTCTTAAGACAGATGGATTTTTTAAAAATGACTTCTCTGTTCCTTCCAAGCATCGTGCAATAAGTAGATTGTCTATCCTGCCGTAGACTCTCAGAGCTCGGGGTATCTCCAGGCGTGTGTGGAGAGCAGGGTCCTCGCCTCTTCTAAAGAGAGCGCATCTCTTGGGAGAGACAAGGAAATGACCCACATCTAACTTTTGTATCATGTTAAGTGTGTGTTATTTAATATTTTTATCTTGATTTTCTATCTATAAAGATTTTACCATCATGCTGAAGTCTCCGTAGTGTCCAAATAGTAGTTACGAATCCCCCCTCTACGTCAGGTTCCAGTTAGCCACATTCAGAGCAGGAGTGGCACCCATTGTCAGGGACCTACCTTCCCCCCAGCCTGACAGTTGACTCAGAACTTACTGCAAAGAGAACCGCGGGTCTTGCACTGGGCGGACACCACGGTGCCCTTCATTCTGTGACCCCTCACAGCTTCACATGACTCCTGCTCTGGAAGGGTTTCTTCCCAGGTAAGACGTAATGGTCTCAGTTTCTTCCTTCACCTCACTGCTACTTAGAGATTAAGTAGTTCTCAGCATGCTCCAACTGACTGCAGCTCTCCCATAGCTCTGCAAGGGCAGAGGTTGACACTCAGACCACAGCAGCACTGGGGTTTACATTACTTAAGGCTCTTCCTTAATATCCCAGCTTACCCCATCTGTTTCGTATGGGTGGAACTCAGGCCCTAACCTGAGAGAGCAGGCAGTGTATGGCTATGAAGGCAGTCCGGTGTCCAGCAGGGCAGAGGGCAGCTGGGGAGCCCCGCCTGGCCTGCAAGGACAGCGGCTCCTCTCCCTCTCACTCCTCTCCTGTTGCTGTGGAGAAACAGACTTGAAGTTGCTAAAGCTTTGGTTTTTCCAGATACCAGAAATTTTATGCCATTTTTCTAGTTAGAAATGTGGGTAGTCAATCCAGACATGCCCACTGAAGAGGTGGAAGTGACCTGTAGCCTCTAGGCTGCCTCTCACAGCCTCTGCTGGTGTCTTTAAACTGCAACATGAGGGCTGGCTTTTTTTTTTTTTTTTTTTTTGGTTTTTCGAGACAGGGTTTCTCTGTGTAGTTCTGGTGCCTGTCCTAAATCTCACTCTGTAGACCAGCCTGGCCTCCAAATCACAGAGATCTGCCGGCTCTGCCTCCTGAGGAGGGCTGGCTTTACTGGCCACCAGAAGTAGGCCTCTGAGCCAGCAGTGGAAGGCAGCGATCACCTGCCATGAGGTCACTGTCAGTCTCCTCCCCTGTGTGCTCTGTGGGAATGATCAAGGGTGCAGGTTTCCTCCCGGAAACAGCACCGCCACAGTCAGGTTCTCCAGGTCAGGTTGCCTACATTGTGTGCATGGGAAAGGGCCAGCACTCCAGAAACTGTGCCCACTTATCTGTCCGTAAAACCCTAAATGCCACATCGCTGCTGAATGCCCAGGAGTGCCTTTCCCAAAGGGGTCTGCTAGCTTGAGCTCAGGCATTGACTTTGACAAGCTTTTCTGCATGCTTCAAGGACTCTGCTGCCCTTCCTGGCAGGCTCTGCGGAGCTGGTTCCAATCCTGAGCTGGTTCCCATGATCCCCAGGGAGGACAGGCCTCTGTTGGAAGCTTCTTGGAAGAGAATTTTTCGTTAGAGGCAAGGACATGCCACAGAGGACACTGTCTGTAGAAAATTAAGGAACTCGGGGCCAGTACAGTGTTTCCAACTGCTCTCAAAAACACCAGAGTTCAGTCAGTCCTGAGTGCTCCTCAGGCCTTCCAGGTGGACGCCAAGGAAACAGCAGGAGGTGCCCCACACAGCCCCTCATGCGACCTGGGGTCAGAACATTCTGCTCCCATAGGCAAATGCATCCTGTCTCAATGCTTGTCCTGGCCAGTTTTGCTTGTGGGTCCCATCGCCTTGCGCAAGTCAGCCCTGCGTCCAATCCAGCTGTTCTGTCCCTTCTTCCCTGTTCTTCTTTCCTGCCTGTGTACCCCACTTCCCGGGACCGAGAGGATGAAGGGCCTGCTGGTGAGCTGGCCCCGCCCCAAGCTCCACTTGCCGAAGGCACCGTGGCCTCAGCGTGACGGTTCTTACTTGCCAAAGACTTGAGTCCAGTGTTGCCACAGTCGGGACTATAATCACACAGTGTGGGGTGCTCCCCTGCCTCCAGTGAGTCCTCCACAGCTCCCGTGAGCCTCTTGTAGTCCAGTCTCCTTTCCTTCCTTGTGCTAGTTGAATATAACCCGTGCTCTTAGAAAACACAGTGCTGCATAGACAAAACGAGACGCATGTCACGCCGGGGGTTTACCTGCGTCGCTCCTTCGCCTGCACTGTTCCTCGTTGTCATTAAACATCCTGTTCCTGATGATGCTGTCCCCTCGTGTAAAGCCGTTCTGGAAACGGTCCCTGCCAGTTATGCAGTAAACAGTCTCTTCAAGTGCCTGTGGTCACTTTGATCTCCTCCAGCCGGTGGACGTCTCCGGACACTGGGTAGGGGTGGGCAGGCCCCCACGCCACTGTACCTCTGAGGAGAGGTGGTTCAAGTCTCCCCACCTTGGGGCACCCAGCTTAGCCTTCTCTTTCCTGTGTTTAGCATGTAGCCTGTGTGTTTTGTATTTGAGGCAGGGTCTCAACCTGTAGCTCAGGCGTGCCTTGAGCGGTCATCCTCCTGCCTCGGCTTCCTGAACACTGGAACTACAGACATGTGCCATCATGCCCATCCTAGTGCACTTAGCCCTTTCATTTCTAGGTCGTCCCAAGGCAGCCTAACTCACATGCCCTCACCCCTTCTCAGCAGGCAGTCAGGCCATAGAATGAGTCCGTGCTGAAGGCCAGCAGTCTTTTCACTCTCAGTGTGCATGGGGGCCGTGTGCTTTGGTCAGTCAGGGCCACCTAGTCTTCTGGAGAAGCAACTTGGTACTTCCAGGTAGAAGGAGGAGGGGACACTTGACCATCTCCAGGCCTCTCCAAATGAAGCCCAAGAAAGGCAGGACGTTACTCCCTGCTAGGGAGGACGTCTTGGGAGAGCCCGCAGTCCACAGCTCACACCCAGCAGCTCACACCCAGAGTGCTTCCGGGGCCAGGTTCCCAAGAAGCCCTGTGGAGTTGCTGAGCCATACAAAGCTGACTCGGCTGTGCGGGTGCCCGTCTGTACCACGCTGGAAGACACTGCTGTAGATGCTCTCGGGTCTGTGCGCACACAGCACTCCTCTTGATCATGACCTTATAATTCCAGCTGCTGCTGGCGATCGACCGTGACTATTGGCACTGCTCAGTTCTTTTCGTGGGTGACCTCTTCCAAGTACTGGTGAGATAACCCAGCCGTCAAGGCGCTTGCCTCCAAGCCTGATAAGCTGAGTTTGAACCCAGAACCCACGTGGTCGAGAACACCAGCTTCCTTGAATTGTCCTCCAAAGCCATGAATGCATGTACACACCCACAGACACGCTCAGGGTGGATGGCCACTTCGGTCTTCAGCAGCCTATGGAGGAAGATGTGTTTCCACTTGATGGAAGAAACCCACACACAAGGCGGGGCGCTCCCCGCCTGGGGAAGGTGAGGAACCTGACGGTCCGTCAAATGAGGCATCTTTGAGAATGTGGCGAAGCGGCCAGTGACGGAGCTCTGGAAGCCTCGAAGCCCCACTGCCAGGGCACCCCGTGTACTCCATCTGTAGGCCAAGCACAGACCACCTCACACAGGGACCCCAGGGACCTGTCTGCCACCCAGCAGGCCAGGAGTGTGCGGTTGTCCAGGAACAAGTCTAGAGGGTGCCCACCTCGGCCCTCTGACCACGGCTGTTTCTCCACGATTCAGCCCATACAATCCTTCCACCTGCTTCCCACTTACAGGGCATCGGCGGCCATGACCTCAGCTCTGCACATCTGGCCCCTGCTCCCCGTCCCACACACCCCACAGCTTCCTCTCTTCACAGGTTCCCAAACTCTTCACACTCACTCAGAACTTAGTCCAATTTGTCTCCCAAATGGGGCATCTCTCCAGCGACTCCAGAGCCTCGGCCTACAAAAATCCCTCTTCCCAACACCTTCCCTCCTTGGAGTCATCTTCCCCTCCTATCTGCCCTCTCTCAGGCCCACTTTGGTCAGCCTCCCCTTCAAAAGCCCAGGCTGACACTCACCTAGCCTTGGCTTCTGTTTGCTAGCCTTGGCTACTTGTGTTTGCTAGCCTTGGCTACTTGTGTTTGCTAGCCTTGGCTTCTTCCCTCTGCTGGCCTTGGCTGCTTCTCTTTGCCTACTCTAAGCTCCATCTCATGCCCTGAACACCTAAGAGATGGGCACATTTTGAAACTGCAGTTTGACCCGTCAATCCAGAACCCTGCTTCGGCACCCCTCCAGTACGGTCTACGGTCCCCCCACACCCACCGTGCCAGGGTCTCTATATCTTGCAGCTAGTTATCCAACACCCGGGAACTAGGAATTGAAACCTCCCCATTCCACAGATGAGGAGCCTGAGGCTCAGACCTTCAAACATGGGTAGTCGTGGAGAAGCCCAGAGTACAAGGCCTGTGCTCTGAACCCACGCAAATGGACATCCTGTATAAAGACAGCAGGCCTGTCTTTATATAAAAGGAGGAGGCCAGGAGGGGGTCCAGACCGGCTCCCACCCCCAGTCTGTTTTGTCTGCCAGTGCCGCATTTTTCCCACGGGTTTCTCATCGGTTCTGGTTGTTTGACACCGAGGCATCCCTTACCTTCTGCTGTTAGACACCGGTCTCTGTGAAGCCGCTGCCCAGTTCACCAGCAGGAATGGTCTGAGGACCACAGGTTCCACAGGCATGTTGACAGGAGCTGAGGAGAGGAGAAGCCCCCACTCCACCCCACGCCAGGCTCCTGCATCCTGAGAGGAGGGACATCCCCAGGCAAGGCCGAAGAATGAAGGATGACTGGCTCCTGGTTAAAATGGGGACAATTCTGCCCACACCTCAGGCAGACACACGGAAGGCATCCCCTGGAAGGCTAGGTCTCCTGAGCTCCCTGTTGATGTTCCCCACAGCCTACATTTCCGTACTCCTCATTTCACAGACAGAAGACCTGGGCCCAAGAGGAGTCGTCTGACTGCTGTGTGATGGGCACTGACCGGAACCAGAGCCTGGGCCAAGGAGGGCTGGGCACTCTCCCTCACTGAAGGTGACTGCCACATCTGCAGGGTTACGAAGTATCTATTCACTTGTGACCCCAGTACCAGGTGAGGAACCCACGCAGTCTTTCCAAGGCCCTGTGGGCCCTCCATCCTTTAGACTTCAGGGCAGCTGACAAAGCTTGTGTGCATTTCCAGGACCAGTTTGGCTTCACAGAACATGTGAAGAGGCCTCCTGAGACTGGCATACACTCCATGTATGGATAGGTATAGTATATTAAGGCAGATTATTGTATCTGCTGTAAACTGATTTAGCAAACTACCAGCCTTAGATAATTTGTGCTGATAGATATTCTTATATATTTGATACAAATGTAAATTATTCCTACATTCCTATTTAAGATAACTGTATATTGATACAAATACAAAATTATATGTTATATTGTACACATGTTCCTACTCTTATTTGAAATATTTTTTATATTAATACAAATGTAAAGTTATATTCGCCATACTGTATGTATGTTCTACCTGTTTAGGATATTTTGTATATTGATACATATTAAGGATATTGTTATCATATTGCACTATACATTTCTACCTCAATTTAAGATATTTTTTTGAGGTCATTTTCCTTATACTGTACATCTGCTTACAGATTGTTAACTTTGTTAATGTGTAGCCTTAGTCCTTAGGCTATTTAGGTAGATAAGACTTACAGAATTATAGTCACCCATGCTTGATATTTCTATAGTTATGTTAGTCAGGTTGTCCAGATTTACAGAAACATATGTCAGATGGATAGGTAATCTTCAAACACTTCATAGGCCTAGAGAATATGACATTTAAATGTTTTGAAAACTTAGAATTCTGTTGACATGAGACACGATTGCTCCTGGCAGCACTGATCTGATCCCGAGAGAATGTTGGGCGTCTAAGACTTTTCCATTTGGAAGTTTGTCTTCTTCTTGGCACAGAGTGGCCTATTGGGCAAAGAACTGCCCTTGCCTTGACTGCTGCCAGTATGAACGCTGTCCTTTCCGGGCGAGCAGGGCACAAGGAAAAGTGACTACTGAACTCTGCCAAGACAGGGTAAGATGGTCTTTCAAAATACCTGCTTCTGAAAATGATCTGTCAGATAGTCTAGGCCTGTAGCCAAATTGGATGCTCCAACGATGCTGAGAAACTTCAGGTGACTGTCCAGGCTGCCAACTGTCTCTGTCTATTCTCACAAGAATTTCAGAAATTGCTTGCTTGCATTTTCCATTTTCTCAGCTATTATTATGTTCCTTCTCAGGTCTTTGAGTTGAAGACTAGATAGTTACAGTTACAAACTTCTCGTATCTTAGCTAGAACATATTAAGTACTAGAGCTAGAATCTTCAGGATAGGACAGCTACTGGAGTAATCTCAGTAATTTGCCATTTACCTATGATCTGAACATTTCTGGACATTTAGCATGTCTTTCTTGTTTGATGCTGTTCTTGTTGGTTGTAGTTCCATTTTTGTTTATGTGTTTACCCTTTGTTTTTCCTGGACAATACTTGATAATCATTCTTATTGTATATAGTTTGCATTAAGTTTAGAACCTTCTTATTTAGACAAAAAGGGGAAATGTAGTGGTATTTGCTCTGCCCATGACCTTGGGCTATAGGGTCCAAAGGAGGCGGTGCTTCCTGCCATTGTATGTGACCTCTTAAAAGGTAAAGGAGAAGAGTCATGAGTCCCTTCTCCCTGCTACCTGCTTCCTGGTCTGATGGAACTGCCAGCCGGATTGGCTCCTGGTCAGATCCGAGGACAACTTCGGCTGGCTACTCCGTTCTGTATTCATGAGTGTATTTCCTCAGTTTATATCTTAATAAATTCTGTTACCCATTAAATGGACTCACATGGATTGATCTTACAGGCCTGGCCCTGACAGGAGACTCCCACTCTCACAGGAATGAATTCTCCTGCTGGGGGCACGCCATAGGAGCTAGGGTAACTTTAATTATCTCGAGCGTTTGCCTCTTACTTCATCTGTTTTTCACCTTTATTATCTTTTTATTTACAGAAGACAGCTTGCAGGAATCTGTGGGTCCCAGAGGTTGGACTCAGCGGCCAGGCCCGTCAGCAGGCTCTGCTGTGTGCTGAGACATCTCACCAGCCTTGTTTTATTTTTAAAATTGCATTTCAAAGGCTACAGCTGTGGAAAAATATAGACAAATACCCAAAATGAAAACAACGTGGATAGGGATGTAGCCCAGTTGGTAGAGTGCTTACCAAACATGTACAAAGCTCTGGCTGGATTCTATCCCCAGTAAAATATAAAGCAGGCAGAGCAGACACACGCCAGAATGAAAA